AGGGCCACCCCCCTTCAGCACCCTCCCCCTCCACCCCCCTCCACCCCCCCACCCTCAGCACCCCTCCCCCTCCACCCCTCCCCCCGCCTTCAGCACCCTCACCCTCCACCCCCACCCCCCCACCCTCAGCACCCCTCACCCTCCACCCCCCTCCACCCCCCTCCACCCCCCCACCCTCAGCACCCCTCACCCTCCACCCCTCCCCCTGCCTTCAGCACCCTCCCCCTCCACCCCACCCCCCCACCCTCAGCACCCCTCACCTCCCCCACCCACCCTCCACCCCCCCACCCTCAGCACCCCTCACCCTCCACCCCCACCTCCCACCCCCCCAGCCCTCAGCACCCTCACTCTCCACCCCCACCTCCACCCCCCCACCCTCAGCACCCTTCACCTCCCCCCGCCCCCCGCCTTCAGCACCCCTCACCCTCAGCACCCCCGGCCTTCCTCCTGCCCGGCCTGACGGCCCTCCCAGCCCCTCCGCTTTCATTGACGCTTTGCCGCCCTTTCCGTTTTCCTTCCACGGGTGGCCCTGCCGGCAGGGGGCGTGGCCACCGACATGGGGGCGGGGCCACCTGATCCACCGGAAGTGTGCACGTGGTAGGGGCGGGGCCACGTGAAGATGGAAGGGTGCGGCCAGGAGCCCCGGAAGCTGAGAGGCAGGGAGGCCCCTCCCGGAGCCCTGGGGGGGCACAGGCCTGACCCTGATTGCAGGGCCGCCCGGGAGGGAGCCCGCCTCCTGCGAGCCGCGGCCCAACTCTGGGCTGTGACCGGGTCTGGGAGCCGCTGAGCCCCGTGCCCGCAGGGGGACCCAGACCTCTCCCTGCCGGCCGGGGCCCCGTCCGGTGTCTGCCTCGGCCCTGCCTCCGGCTCCCGCTCCGGCTCCCGGCTCCCCGGCTCCGGCTCCCCGGCTCCGGCTCCCGGCTCCCGGCTCCGGGCTCCGGCTCCCCGGCTCCGGCTCCGGGCTCCGGCTCCCGGCTCCCGCTCCGGCTCCCCGGCTCCCGCTCCGGCTCCCGGCTCCCCGGCTCCCGCTCCGGCTCCGGCTCCGGCTCCGGCTCCGGCTCCCCGGCTCCCGCTCCGGCTCCGGCTCCGGCTCCGGCTCCCGGCTCCGGCTCCTGCTCCCGCTCCCCGGCTCCCGCTCCCCGGCTCCCGGCTCCCGCTCCGGCTCCCCGGCTCCGGCTCCGGCTCCCGCTCCGGCTCCCCGGCTCCCGCTCCGGCTCCCGCTCCCGCTCCCGCTCCCCGGCTCCGGCTCCCGGCTCCGGCTCCGGCTCCGGCTCCCGCTCCGGGCTCCCGCTCCGGCTCCCGCTCCGGCTCCCCGGCTCCCGCTCCGGCTCCGGGCTCCGGCTCCCCGGCTCCGCTCCCCGGCTCCCGCTCCGGCTCCCGGCTCCGGCTCCGGCTCCCGGCTCCCGGCTCCGGCTCCCGCTCCGGCTCCCGGCTCCGGCTCCCGGCTCCGGCTCCCGCTCCGGCTCCCCGGCTCCCGCTCCGGCTCCCGGGCCGGCAGTGCGGGGGCGCCGGGCGGGCTGCGGGTGGGAAGGCAGGCCACAGGCTGGGGTGCCCCGCCCCGGCCCAGCCCCAGCTGCAGCACCTCTGCCTCCTCCATTTGGAGCCGGCTCAGGGGTCAGGGGCCATCTCCACGCCCACAGACCCGTGTCTGTGCCCATTAGGGGGCGAGGCCATCACACCGGGAGGCAGCCGGGCACTTGGCCTCGGAAGGAGCTGGTGTTTGGGAGAAAGGCCTCCGTCCGGAAGTCCCGAGGGCTGTCGTGAGCAGGGTTCTCAGACGTTCCCTGCAGAATGCTTTCTGATAAAACCTCACCTGAGGCCGTTTTTTAAAACGGGTGGAGGCTGAAACCGGTGTGGCTCAGTGGATAGAGCGTCGGCCTGCGGACTGAAGGGTCCCGGGTTCGATTCCGGTCAGGGGCGTGTGCCTTGGTTGGGGCACATCCCCAGTAGGGGGTGTGCAGGAGGCAGCTGATGGATGTCTAACTCTCTGTCCCTCTCTCTTCCTCTCTGTAAAAAATAAATAAAATATATTACAAACGGGTGGAGGCCGAGCTGCTCGAGGAGGGCGGGTGTTGAGGCAGCGTGGCCGCCGGCCTGGCCGGCCTGGCACACCGGCTCGCAGGCGGTCAGGCCAGCTGAAAGGCAGGCAGGGCTCCTCCCGGGGAGCCCCTGGGGCCGTAGCTGGGAAAGGGGGAGCTGGAGGCAGGAGGAGAGGCTGCTTTCGGAGCGGGGACGCTGGGACCCCTCCAGGTTGGGGCGCGTGTGCCAGGTGGGCGGGCGGAGGGCCTGGCAGGGCCGCGGCCGTGGGCTGAGCACACTCCACGGGAGCTATTTCGGGCGGATCCCCTGCTCGGGGACAGATGGCACGTGGGGCAGAGGGAGGCGGTGGGGGCTGCAGGCCAGGCTCCTGCGGGGAGGGGTGCCTGCCGGCCCAGGGAGTGGGACGGGCGGTCCCCTGCCTCACATTCTGCACCCACAGGCCATCCCCCCAGCTGCTGTCAGAACCGCGTGGCTCTGCGCTGGAGGGGCGGCCTCACGGGACCCAGCCCGCACCTGCCCGCTACCACCTGCCCACCCCACACCTGCCCCCCTGCACCTGCCTCTCTGCACCTGCCCAACCCCACACCTTTCTGCCCGCACCTGCCCCCACCCGCACCTGCCGCCCCCACCCGCCCCCTCACCTGCCCGCCCCTCACCTTCCCACCTGCACCTACCCAACCTGCACCTGCCCGCGTCCTAGGCTGGGCCCCGCACCCTCCCAGCAGGTGTGCAGCCTGTGGTCAGGACTGGCTCCTTCTCAGCCTGCGGGCTGTCCGCCCAGCGCCTATATTTAACCAGTTTAATGAGATTCTATCCAGTAATTCCTGAAACCGGTAATCTCCAATTGGGTCAAACGCTCTGCCACAGCTCAGCTGCTCTATTTTTAGCACAGTCCTCCCCGCAGCTCTGCCCTCAGCGGCCAGCGGGCTCCCCCTGCCCCTCGTCTGCAGCTCACCTGTGCGAGCAGGGGAGCCCCGTCCCTGCCCCCGGGGCGGTCTGCCCCAGGGCGGTCGGCACACACCCATTTGGTGGGGTTGGCTCAGGGCCCCGTGTCCCCATAGACAAGGGCGCCGAGGCAGCTCTGGGGAGGTGTCTGTCCGCAGGGAAGGGGGTGCTAAGTGTCTTTTGTGAAATCCCTGAGGGTTCACGGAGAACCCCGCCCTGCCTCACTCGGCCCGGGACCCCCTCCAGGGGCCAGGCCTGTCTGTGCTTTGCGGGCTCACTCACAGCCTCTCAGTGGCAGAGCGCCCCCCCCCCAGCATCCACACGCCTCCTCCAGGCCGGGACCCTCACCCACCACGGGTGCCAACGCCTCTGCAGCCATTGTCCCCCGATGACACGGGAGCCTCCCGGACGCCGAGCGAGTGGCTGATGGAGCCTGTGGCTGGGGGACTCGGGGCGAGAAAGGCGCTGGCCCGGTTAACCTGCCCGGAGGCGGGTCCCTGTGAACGTCACCACCCCTTTCGCCTCACAGACCGCCAGTGCGCGGGGACGGGGGAGCTCCCGGCGGAGGCTGGATCGGGTGAAGGGGAGGGACTGGGAGCTGCCCTGTGCAGAGGCCCCTCAGAGCGACATCCTGACTCTGCGGGTGCCGCCGTGTGCTCGGAGGGCAGACACGTTGGCAGCGGAGGCGTGTGGCCGCCTCTCCCGCCAGAACCCTGGGAGCCCGTCCTCGAGGAGACCAGGCACAGAGAGGCCGAGCCACCTGCCCACAGCCACCCAGCGGGGAGGGGCTGGGGCTCCGGCTTGGACGGTAGACTCCGGTCTCACTCAGCCAGGACCGCGTCCCCCGCAGGGCCTGCCCACCATCAGGGACGCTCGCTGGTGTCGGAGGGCCCAGGCCTTCAGTTGTTACACTGGGGGGCGGGGGGAAGAGGGGGAGGCAGAAACTGGTGTGGCTCAGTGGGTAGAGCGTCGGCCTGCGGACTGAAGAGTCCCGGGTTCGATTCTTGGTTGTGGGCACAACCCCAGTAGGGGGTGTGCAAGAAGCAGCTGATCGATGATTCTCTCTCATTGATGTTCCTAACTCTCTATCCCTCTCTCGTCCTCTCTGTAAAAAATCAATAAAATATATTTAAAAAAAGAAAAGAAACGATAAGAAAAAGAGAGGAAGAGGAGGGGGAGGAGGACCTGGATAAGACACATAGGAGGTTGGCAACGATGGGCAGTCCTAGGGAGCAGGGCACAGGCCGAGGCTGTCCACAGACCTGGGGCTTGGGAAGCGGAGAGGAGAGTGCATGCGTGGTCTCCGGCAGGTGACCGGAGCCGGTCCTGCCCGGCAGGACCTGATGGGACGGTGCTGAGGGGAGGCGGCCCTGGGGTCCCAATGGCCCTTGGCTGTGGGTCAGTGTTCACCGTCCGTCGCACCGAGGCGTCCAGGACACGGGGGCTCAAACCGCAGACCCCCTGCCCCTGTGGAGGCTGGTGTCCCAGACCAGGAGTGGGCGGGGCCGCGGAGGGCTTGTGCGGCTGTGGCAGCGTCGCCCCGATCCGCACCGTCCTCCTGGGACGTGCCTGCCCCAGAGGACACGGGAGGACACAGTCAGGCCGGCCTGGAACCCCCTGCGCCAGTGCGACCCCATCGCACTGCGTTGGCCACTACCTCGGAAGCAAGGCGCAGCCTGGGTCCGGGTGGACCAGGGACCCGGGCCGAGGGTGTGCGCCTGCCCTGCCCAGGGGTGACCTCCCGTCACCCTGGCTGCAAGCTGCCCTTTGGGGCTTCTACGCCCACCCGAGCCGGGAACGGGGGGAGAAGCCCGTCACAGGCGGTCCGGCCGGACAGCGCGGGGCCCGGGCACTGGAAGCCACCCCGGCTCTCGCTCTCGGAGAAGCAGGTTGGGGAGGGAGAGGGGCTATTGGCCTGTGACCTTTCCCGTCACTTCATCACGGCCTTCCGGGGCCTGTCGTCCGATCCAGTTTTCATTTTTTTAATTTTTTAATTTTTTTTTATTTTCCGCGGCGCGTGTCGGGGCCTGGGTTTCACCTCCCCACATCGAGTGGACAGTGAGCTGAGGCCCCCGGTGGCTCTGGGCGCCGAATCTCAGTTTTCATTTTATTTTTATGTCTGTATCGATTTCAGAGAGGAAGGGAGAGGGAGAGAAACATCCATGATGAGAGAATCCATGACCGGATCCCACTGGGGATCAAGCAGCAACCCGGGCCTGTGCCCTGGGTCATAGCTCAGTGCTCATCCCGAGCCACACGGCTGGGCTGACCCAGCTGAGGCCGTCACTCAGCTTTAGGACATACCACACACCCAGAGCGTCTGCCGGAACGGCCCCCAATACGGAGAAGGAAGCCCCGCACGGTGCTTCTGTCCGGGACAGGCAGGATGAGGTTGTGGGAGGGCACTTTGCCACCAGGGCCCTGGGCCGCCCTCCGGTCAGGGACACCAGTTCCAAGAGGGGACGGAGACCTACCCAGAGGGACTGGGGGTGGAGGATTGGGGGCGGGGCCTGGGGACCCCACCCACGTGCCGCTGGGAGCCGCTGGGAGCCGCTGGGATGCAGTGGGCAGGAGGCCTGGCCTGGGTAGAGACTGAGGTGCCGTCTGAGCAGCCATCAGAGCTGACCTGCAGCCTCATTGGAGGACGTTTCCACTAATGTTCAGAGGGAGGAGAAGGGAGAGGGAGGGACACACTGACCGGTTGCCTCCCACACGCGCCCGGACCAGGGCCAGGGGTCAAGCCTGTCACAGAGGTCCGTGCCCTTGACTGGACTCAAACCCAGACCCTTCAGTCGGCAGACCGCCGCTCTATCCACTGAGCCGCACCGGCACCTAATCCTGACGCTGGGACAGGAGACTCTCCTGAGAGCCCCATCCTCAGGCCCGCAGCCTATGGGGTCCGGGGCGCCCCTAAAGCAGGCTGGTGCCTGCCGCCCCACCCCCCGGAGGCCTGGCGTCTGGAAGGGGGCGGCCTCCTGGTCTTTGGGGGTGGGGGGCCCAGCCCCGGGCCCTCTTGTTTGTGGGTCAGAGGCACCCGCCCAAGGGCGGAGCGGACCAGATGCAGCCCTCCCTCCAGGGTGTGCGTAAGCGGGGCCACGGGCGCCCCGCGTGGGTGGCAGGGAACAGCTCCCCTTGGGGCACACTGCAGCCCCACTCTCCTGTCTCTCCCTCGGGCCTCCTCCCCCTGCCTCCTAACCGCCCAGCCCGGCCCGGAGACACCAGCGCCTCTCCAGCCTCCTCCCCCCCCCCCAGGCTGTGGGAGCCCCCGCCCCGCCGCCCCTTCCCCGCGGGTCCCGGCACCGCCTCTGGGTCTCCAGGGCCCCGGGCGCGGGTGGCACCTCCGCTCCTGGGCCGGCGGGCCTGGTCCTGTTGGGGAGACACGTGGGCACCCCCGGGAACAGCGCAGATTCCAGCGGTTTTAACGGGCCCGAGAGAAGGCCCCCCGCCCAGCGCGGAGCGGAGACGGAGGCCCCGAGGCAGAGCGGTGCCCCCGGCCGCTACCCGTCTGGCGGAGGCGGGGGTCCGGGCGGGGGCGCGCGTGGGGTGCCGGCTGGGACCCGGGCGGGGCGCGGGGGGGGGCCGGGCGGGGGCGCGGGGGGGGCCGGGTGGGGGCGGGGCGGGGGCGCGGGGGGCCGGGCGGGGGCGGGAGCGCGGGGGGGGGCGGGTGGGGGCGGGGCGCACGCGGGGGGCCGGGCGGGGACCCGGGCGGGGCGCGGGGGGCCGGGCGGGGGCGCACGCGGGCGGCGGGGACGGGGCTGTCGCCTCGCCTCGCGGCCGCGGAGGACCGGGGGGGCGCAGTGCGCAGGCGCGGCGGCGGAGGGGACGCGCTCGGGGCGCGCGCGGGAGCCGGCTCCCACCTCGGCCGCCCGCCCGCCCGGCGCCCCGGCCGGCGAGGGCGCCGCTGCATGGCGCTGAGATGGCGGGGGCGCCGCGCGGCCCCGGCGGCCCGGGCGGAGGCGGCGGCGGCGGCGGCTCCGCGGAGCCGGGGGGCGGGCGGGCGGTCAGGCTGCGGCGCGGGCTGCGGGCGTGCGGCGGCGGCTTCGCGTGCCCCGAGCTGGAGGCGCTGTTCCGCGGCTACGCGCTGCGGCTGGAGCAGGCGGCGGCGCGGCGGGCGCTGGCCGTGCTGAGCCTGCTGGCGGGCGCGCTGGCGCTGGGCGAGCTGCTGGGCGCGGGGGGCGCGCGGGGCCCGGCGGGCGGCTCGCACCCCGCGCACTTCGCGCTCTTCCTGGCGCTGCTCGTGGCCACCCACGTGCGCGCGCTGCCCGCGCGGCGCCTGCGGCAGGTCGGGGCGCTGGCGCTGCTGCTCTGCCTCACCTTCGCGCTGCTCGGCTGCCCCTTCGCGCCCGCCGCGCTCTCCGGGGCGCCCGCCGCGGACCAGGGCGTGTGGCCGCTGCTCCTCGTCACCTTCGTGGCCTACACGCTGCTGCCCGTGGGCGGCCCGCTGGCCGCCGGCTTCGGGCTGGTGGTGGCCGCCGCGCACCTGCTGGTCACGGCCGCCCTGGGGCCCGCCCGGCGCCCGCGCCTCTGGAGGACGGTAAGCGCCGCGCCCCGGGGCCCGACCGCCTGCGGGGAGGCCGGGCGCGGGGGGCCGGGGCGCGTCTCCTCGGGCAGCGGGGACCAGGGCCCCGGCCCGGGAGCGCCCAAGGTCACTCGGAGCCGGGGCCGGGGCCGGGGCCGGGGGCCGGGCTCCCCTCCGGGTCCCGTGCGGAGGCGGAGACGGGAGCCGTGCGGACAAGGAGCGCCCCAAGGTCAGCGGCGGCGGCGGCCCCGCGGCCGGAGCCTCCGCGCTCTGCCGGCGCCCATCCCCGGAGGAAGCGGGTGCGGAGCGGGGTCCGGGCGGCCGTTCCTCCCGGCTCCGCGCCCGAGCGAACCGGGTGCGGGGTCCCCCAGCCCTGAGGCCCCGGGGGGCGGGGAGGCGAGGAGGGAGGACTCCGCCCCTCCTGTTGCCCAGGCACCGGGGACCCTCTCGGTCCTGAAGGACCGGGTTTGCCAAGGTCGCAGCGCCCGGTCCCCCCTCCGCGCCCCTCCGGTCCCTGAGGGTGTGGGACCCGGAGGGCGGGGACCGGGAGGGTGTGGGGACCCGGGGGGCGGGGGGACCGGAGGGTGGGGGACCCTGAGGGCGTGGGACCCGGAGGGCGGGGACCCGGAGGGTGTGGGACTGGGGGGGTGGGGGAGGGAAGGGAGAGCGGCGGCAGATGGAGGAGGGGAGGGCAGGTGGACGGGCCAGGCAGCTGGTGGGGGATGGGAGTCAGTCAGCTGTGGGGGTGACAGAGGCGCCCCCAGACCGATGCCCTGGCACCCGTGGTCACAGGAACCCTAGGACCAGGGACGGAAAGGGGGGGCTGGGAGGGCAGGAGGATGGCGACCTGGAGGGGGAAGGGGAGAGGAGGAGAAGGAGGGGTGAAGGCAGAGCAGGGAAAGGCCAGAGCTGCTGGGGTAGGGGGTGGGGGGTGTTCGGCCCCTGAGCACGTGAGTGTGAGAGAGACAGAGTGAGTGTGTGTGTGTGAGAGAGAGAGAGAGAGAGAGAGAGAGAGGGAGGGAGGGAGGGAGATGTGTGTCCGGGAAGGAGGCTGGGAGACAGTGTGCAGGCTGTCTGCTGGTGGGCAGGTTGGGGAGGTGCTGGGAGCCACGGGGTGTGAGTACGGGCGCCAGGGCCAGGGCACCCCCCCGCCCAACCTGCACCTGTTCCCAGGGGGAGCGTCCGGCTTGGGGACAGTACTCGGTGTGGAGGGACTAGAGGTGTCCAAGGTCACAGAGAAGACGGCCAGGTCCATGGGACTGGGGGGGTTCAGGTTACACGGGTTTAGATCCCATGGAGGGTTCAGGTCACATGGGGGTCAGGTCACATGGGCTTCGGGTCACATGGGGGGGTTCAGATCACATGGAGGGTTCAGGTCACATGGGATTTGGGTCACATAGGGTTTCGGGTCACATGGGGGTCAGGTCATATGGAGGTTCAGGTCACATGGGTTTGGGTTAAGGTGGGCACAGTTCTTAGAGGACTTGCCCCCAAGGCTGACCCCCGAGCAGGCCTGGGCTCCTCCAGTAGCAGCTTCGTGACTGGGCAGCCAGGGGCTGATGGCTGCTGGTTGGGCCTCAGTTTACCTGGGACCATCATGGCCGCAGTGGAGGGAATGGTATGGAGGTGTGGCCTGTCCCCTGTTTGACTGGTCATTCCCCCGTGACCTGCCTCCCCAGCCCTTGTGCCCCAGCCGGTCCCTCAGCCCCTCTGTCTGGCCGTGCCCAGACCTTGGCTCCTGAACCCCTGGGCTGGGTGGCCGGAGCCCGCTGGTCCCCACCGGATGGTGCCATCTTGAGGGGGGAGCCGCTGACGGTCCATGGCTGGCCCTCGGAGACAGGAGCGGGTGGGCCCCATATTCGGCGTGTTCCAGACGTCACGTGGGAGCCAGGGTGGGGTGTCTCCGGGGAAGGCTGCTCCGCGGGAACGGCCCCGTGTGCCTGTGGGCAGGCTCCCAGCTCCGTGCAGTTTCAACAGAACCGAGTCTGCTGTTCATACCTGCTGGCCGCCTGGCTGCCGCCAGGGCCTGTGCAAGCAGACGGGCACGAGCACCTGCCCAGACCCAGCGCACGGGTCAGAACCGCCCGGTCACTGGGACCTGGCCCAGGCTCAGCCCCCGCCTGCCGGGAGGCACCGGGCCCAGGCACCACAGAAGCACACCGGCACCCGGTGCCCAGCTCGGAGACAGCACCCGGGGGAGAGGGCTGGGACGGCCAGGTCACAGGGCAGAGGACAGGCCACCTGGGGGGTGTTCGGGTCAAAGTTCTCCGAGGACCGTCAGCCACACCTGTGCCCAGAGCCAGAGCTGCTCCTCCCTGTGCTGGCAGGTGCTGGTCTCCAGGGGGCGTGCGTCCCCTCGTGTCTGTCCGGGGTGTATGCACCCACCGGCCGGCGTGTGAGACTGAACTGGCTCCATCCTGTGTGCTGATGACTTAGCCCCAGGATAACAGGCTTCCAGAGGGAGAGGCGGCGGCCAGGTCCGACCACAGGGACGGGCTCGGAGGCTCGCTCCGTCCCGGGAAGCCCACGTCCGGTGGGCGGGCGGTGGTGGGCGGTGGTGTTTGTGGGGAAGGGAGGGGACCTTTGCCCCGTAGCAGGACGGCGTGGCTGTGGGTGCAGA